ACAGCTTGAGCCTAAGTGTGTCGCAGGATACCTTCTAGGTGATAGTTCTTGATTACTTTTTGATAAATAATTCGTTCTTATTGCGAAATAGGAGCACTATTTATTAATCTGTAATAAAAGACGTGAGGAAATTATGTCTTTTTTAAAGACAAAAATTTTTGAGGCAAAATACCCAAAAAGAAGTTTGTAAAAAAAGTGCTATGATATTAGTAGAAAATTAGAGTTCTAATGATCTAAGATTTAAGTCCAAATTTGGCTTCTGATCTACTACCTGAAAACATACAGGCTCAAAAATCTAGGCTGATTCTAATTTCACAATCTTATTATGTTAACTCGTTAGTTTGATTGTGTTTGTAAGTGTTCGAGTATAATTCTGATTGGAATATTCAATTGTCTAGTTTCTCGTGTTAGACAAGATAGATTCGGTATTCGGTATTTATCAATTAAAATACGTTTCGGTGTTTTCCACCATCATCAGTTTCTATGTGTAGCGTTGTAACAACGTTACACATAGAAAAGAACAAGGCAAGGTTACAAGCGTAGATAAAGACAGTGAAAATAATGGACGTTTACAATATAGAGTACGTAAAATAAGATTTTTCTTTCTCTATGGTTTACATATAAGTAGAAAAGTAAATGGCGTGTTGCCTGTTACATATTTGATTTATAAAATTATTTCAATCTCTAATACACATTCTCATTTGTAATTTTTGTTGGTAAATGCTACAGATTCTTTAAATAAATTGTTTTCAGGTACCAGCCAGTCCTTTTTATCTAAGTATTTCAAAATCTTAAAAGATGGCGTTCGAAATTTGTCTCATTTGCGGCTCTCCACCGCTGTAATCTCTAATGTTTAACCCAACCAAACCTCACTTTCTAACAGAGACAAGTAGTCCCTGCTTTCTAACATGTTTTTAGTTTTTGAGTGATGTATGAAAACATTTTTCTTTTTATTCAGAATAATTACTTTTCCCCAAAAGAATGAAGTTTGCATATAGGGTAAGTGACAAGAGTAACACATTAATAATCAACTGAAGTACCAATTGAAACAAGAATGAATTAATTTAAAGCTCAAATAGGTACTTGAACAGCCGGTCAAAAGCAATGCAGAAAGCATGCTTTTCCCAAACAAACACCTATTAAGTATGAATTCCTGGAACTAAAGCAATTATTGCACTTATATGCCGTACAAACGTGCATGAAATGCAACCAGAACATGCAATTTTATAAATTTTGCAATGGAAAGAAACTCTTTTCAAAGATCCAGCAAGTATGCAAATTGTGTGTGCGATTAATACATATTTACATATACCTAGAGGCATTTATTTGAATGAGTTTCTTGATATACAGAAATAATAAAATAAAAAGGCCTGAATTAGCTCAGGCTGAAATACTTAAATGTGGAAAAATAGGAGTCCTTAGACTTCTAGCAAAATTAGTAAATTTACCAACAGTCTGTTTTGGTAAATTATCGATGTAAACAGGCACAGTCGACAACATAAAATCATGTAATTAAGTCATCAATAAACGATTAACCAAGGGCACAACACAGAAAAATTATAAGTATAAATAGGAATATAATAAGCTTATTTTTTTCAGTTCCAGAATCTCCTGGGGACGGTACATAGGGAGGGAGGTTTATTATTTTCTCCGGATGGAAATTGCTTAATTAGCACAGTGGGAAATAGGATAACGATATTTGACTTGAAAAAGTAAGAGCCCAATTTGATGCATAACTTGAACAGCAGAAAGTTAACAAGATGTGAATTTTCAGGAATAAATCCAACACTTTGCCCGTAGAAAGCCGGTATAATTATGTTGCTCTCGACATAAACGCAAATGGGTCCGCTTTATTGGCAATCAATGAAGAGGGCGAGGCCCACATTATCAGTCTAATATCGTTTAGCATTGTGCACCGCCATAGATTCAATGGAATCTGTCGCAATGTAAAGTTTAGCCCTGATGGAAAACACGTCGCTGTATGCAAAGGCAATAACGGTAAGAGCAAGCTTTAAGCAGAAGAAACAATGACTAACATTTTATCGTTTTCAGTTCTCGTATTTAAAGCCCCAGGTTTAGTGACTGGAACACATAATGCCTTTGAAATGGAACGCGTTTTTCATGGAGCCTACGACGAAACCACTTGTTTGAATTGGTCGTCGGACTCTAAAATTCTGGCTGTTGGATCCAAAGATATGGCGACTAAATTGTATTCATTTGAAAGGTAAAAGCACGGACTCTAAAACACCATTTTATAATTTATTGCGCTCTTTAAAAACAGTGAAACAGTGGAAATCGGAAATTCGATACTCTTGATACTAATTTTGCTTTCAGATTCAAGAACTTCAGAATGTACTCACTAGGCAGTCATACGGACGAAATAGTTGGTTGTTTTTTTGAGCAGGAAAGTTACGATTTGATAACAATATCGAGAAACGGTCAAACCTGCGTATGGGAGTGCACTGTTAAGCCTGGCGAATTAGAAGTTTTAAAAGACCAGGCTCCTGCCAAGAAAAAAGTAAATATTCATCCGTCTTATGTTAGCTTTATGATTATCGACGACTTTTTTATTTGCTTTACAGAAAACGTCTGACGATAATGAGGAAGATGATGTGGACATAACAAAATCTGTTGAAAAGACTCAGGAAGAAGTTGAAGAATCCCTGAAAGAATCTCCCGAGTGTAAGGCGGAGGATAATAAGTTGCTGTATATGAGACTGGCCAGACACTACTTGGCAGACGAAGTGAGGAAGGAGCATCAAGAAGCCGTCCTAACAGCAGCAGCCTATCATCCCAAGGCAAGGATTTTAGTGACTGGTAAGTTGTGATTTTAGTTTAAATTGCTTTTGGATACAGAATGGTCTTTTCCAGGCTTTTCGTGTGGAGTTTTTTTCATTTACGAGACGCCTGACATGAACTTGATTCACTCCCTGTCGATATCAGAGCAAAAAATATCTTCGATAGCCTTGAACCAAACAGGGGAATGGGTAGCTCTGGGATGTAGCGGTATTGGGCAACTTCTAGTGTGGGAGTGGCAAAGTGAGTTACATCGAAATTTATGCTTTTTATCAAACTTACTCCCAATAAATCCTAGGCGAAACCCACGTGATGAAGCAACAGAGCCATATGCTCAATATAACGTGCCTCAGTTACTCTTCAGATGGACATATAGTAGCCACAGGAGGCGGTGATGGCAAGGTAAAACTATGGAAAGTCAGCTCAGGATTCTGTTTCGTTACATTTAGCGAACATTCCAGCGCGGTTACTGCTCTTGCGTTTTGCGCCAGCAAGAACTTTATTGTGTCAAGCTCGCTTGATGGAACAGTTAGGGCTTTTGATATTACTAGGTAATTTATTGCCGTTTTTTCCTAAATTTACAGAAATGGTACGAAATTTCTTTTCAGATATCGCAATTTCAAAACCTTTACTTCACCCAGATTAGTTCAATTTTCCTGCGTATCCGTGGACAGCAGCGGAGAGTTTGTTGCGGCCGGTGGACAAGATGTTTTCGAAATATACCTTTGGTCAGTGAAAACGGGCAGATTACTGGAAATTTTATCCGGACATGAAGGACCGGTGGTAGGTTTTGCTTCAGCAACAATCAAGGATTTAAGTTTAAATGGCACTGTTTCAGTCAAGCGTAGTGTTCAGTCCGGGTTTAACTTCCACTACAATGGCCTCAGTCTCCTGGGATAAAACCCTGAGGACTTGGGACGCTATTGAAAAAGGCTCTTCGCACGAAGTAATCGAATTGTTAGCCGAAGGAGTATTTGTGACCTTTAATCCTAACGGCGTTGAAGTGGCTGTGGCGACGCTGGATGGGAGAATATCCGTTTTTGAAATACGCACTGCCACGCAAGTTGCCTCTATTGAAGGCAGAAATGATTTAGGTAGTGGACGCTCTGATAATGACTTGATTACGGCCAAGAAAACTTTAGAAGCCAAGTAAGTTACAAGCTGCGACAAGGTAGAACGAATGCTCATTTGAGACATTTTCAGGTGCTTTTCAACTTTATGTTACTCCGCTGATGGGGCATACATTTTGGCTGCAGGCCAGTCGAAGAACGTCTGCATCTATAGCGTTAAGGAGAATTTGCTTGTGAGAAAGTTTGAAATTACGCAGAATAGATCATTGGACGCTGTAGATGTAGGTCTGATAAACATTTTTTATTGTCAGTTCTTAAGTTTCTTCTTTAGGATTACATCAACAGGCGAAAACTGACTGAATTTGGAAATATGGCTTTGATCGAAGAAAGAGAACTGAGAGAAGGCGGTAATGTTGCCATCAAACTTCCGGGCGTTAGAAGTGGCGAAATGTCGAAGCGCACTCTTAAACCCGAGGTAACTTGAAGCGTCAAAGCAGCAATTCATGCATAATTACAAACAGTAATTTTTATTAATTCAGGTACGTGTTTTGTCCTTGCAATTCTCACCCACTGGTCAGCAATGGGCCGCGGCTACCACTGAAGGCCTCTTGATATACGCGTTGAACTCAGGAATTGTGTTCGATCCTTGGGATCTTCAAGCAGATATTACTCCTATGGGAATCAACAACGCTCTGAAAGATCAAGATTATCTTAATGGTTTGTATTTATCATTGCAATCAAGACCTGTTTCATAGAAAGAGAAGATCGACAGAAAACGGAATGATCTAAACTAAGCTTCAGATTTATTGAATGAAATGAAATACACAGCTTTTTAACTCTTGCTTTGTTGCAGCACTGATAATGGCAGTAAAAATGAACGAGGCCAATCACATCAGACAAGTAATAGAAACGATTCCAGTCTGTGATGGTAGGTTGACTAAATATTTGATGTATATTTAACTGAAAATTCCAAAATTTTCCAGTTGAATTAATCGTTTCAAGTCTTGGACTTCAATTTATCAAGCGATTGTTGTACATTTTCGCCAGCGCTTTAGATGCTTCAAAACACGTTCAATTTTACTTGAAATGGTTGAAACACATTATGACCATACACGGGTCAAGTCTCGTCCAGCAAGGGAACAAGCCAGCTCTTGTAGCAGTGCTACAAAGTGTTGAGAGGCGAAATGAGCAACTTTCCAAAATGTAAGTAACTTTTTTCAGTTTGAAGTCGTTTACGTTTCTATTTCTCTGAATCTTAAGGTGCGATTACAATCAATACATGACGGACTACGTTCGGTATTCACAAAAAACGGTTGTTAAAACCTTGGATGAAGACCATGATGAAATGAACGGAAAAAGTGACTTGGATAGTGAGGATGAAGATGCGTTTATGGACAATTCAGTTTTAGACTAAAAAAATTGTGTTATTGTATAAAAAATATTTCATACGCAATTGAATACTTTAATAAACATTGCTTTATCGATTTTTTGAGGTGGCGAAAATTATCATGAAGGGAATGGTTTTGCAAAGAAAAACGCCATTTATTCTTATCAGAAACAACAGAAAGTGGATGATCAAACAGAGTGATTCAATTATTTGGCGTAAAGCGTTAGTATGACTAAATTAATTTCGATTCTTACTATCGTACCAATGGCATTTATTGTTGGGAAGTGCCTGAATTCAGGTGTAAGTAATGAAAAAGCGCCTACAAAAACATCATGTAATTTTAAATTTTATTGATATATAAAATTGATAGCAACAGTATTTGTTGATTACTTAATAATTGTATAATTATAAAAGACTAAAAAACCAACTTAAGTTAACGAAATATTTATGCAAATATTAGAGCTGTAATATTTGGATAAACATTCTGTATGATGCATTACGGTTGTAAGCTAAATATAATTTTAAGTTCCCGTTACACTGGTAACGAAATATAAAATCTCTTTTATTATTTACAATTTTAAGAACTTTTCAAAAAGCTATATTGAGTTTTCTTAGACTTGCGCTTTCAAATAATTCAGATTTAAAATTTGTCCCTTGAAGGCATCATGCGATTTTCCGTTCGAAGACATTCAAAAAGGCCAATTCATTTCATGATAGATTCGTTTTGGTAGAGAAAAAACACTACAGAGCAACGATTTAGGCATTTTTCCATAAACATACTCATATTTCCGACTAAACTAGAGGTAGGTAAGTGATGATATCACAATGTTTCGTTTGAATAGGGTTTGCAGTTTAAAAAGCTGAAATGGAAATTTACAATTGGCCTCTTTTCTGTCTTTCAAAATAAAAAGATGAAGGTATTTTGTGAGAGACACACACAATAGTAGCACCAATACGTGTCACAATTCCATATTACTGTTAGCAATGCGGCTAAATCTAGTAAGGGAAATTAATTTTAGTGAATATAAAAAATACGTTTTACCTGTGAAGAATTGCAGAAGGTTTAATGTTGTTCCAAATAACATTTGTATTCTAAAATAAAATTTTAACTATGTAATTTTCATAACTGCACTAGGAACGATTTGCCTCGGACTCCGGTAAAATTGACTAATTTTTGAATTGAAAACCCCGGATTCATTGCAAAATTCATTGAAAATACCTCCAACTCTTGATTACCGGTGTTGGCAGTACCTCGTAATGTCAAAAATATTCATATGTAATGAGTACTTTAGCTGTTTTACAGAACAATGCATAATGCTACATTGCTATCTTTTGACACCACACAATATTGAAGAAACTAAAACTGAAAATTATCTTCTTATTACAGATAGATCGAGACAGATTTCTATATCTATCTATAAAAGCTTAATTAAGAAATTAAAATAATTATCTTCCCAACTCCAACAAACGATTGTTGGCCCATACTGCTGGGACTGGGGCTATGAAAGAGATTCCGACTATCCCAATGCTGGAAGCTTACCGTGTTCACAAATCATGTTATCATCATGATATTCAATGATCAAACTGCTTTTCAATTGATACTTAAAAAGCCCAGCTCTAAAAGGTAGTCAAAATAAATAACACCAAAATTGAACTTTAATTTGCTTTACGATTCAAGCCTGAATAAATATTTCAGAAAGGAATCGCAAAACAAAGCAGATACAATATTGTGACACAACACCAGGACACAATGACAACCAATAAAATAAATATATACAGCAACCCAAAAAGAAAAAAAACTTTGTTAGTTAAAAATGAAAAAAAAATCGTCTCGTTTGGATTTAGGAAGGCCAACCCAATCTTTATCAGTAGCGTGATGATCCACCATTCATAATATTTTCCAACTATGCACATATTTGCACTCCATTGAGAAAACATAGGATTTTCCCAAAAAACATTCTGGGAAAATTATTAAATTTTTTGAATGCCAAGGAAAAATTTCCTTTATGCATCATAGCAGTCGATTCAAGATTGGCTTGCTTAAGACGATTATTCCATGATAGTTGCACCATTATAAAAACATTACTTTATCGATATTATATATACACATATTTGCAAAAGTTAATCATTGTGTGGTGCAAACATTTGCTGACAACTTCATTATTTTTCGTCACTTCGGTAAATATCAGCATCTGCCTATAAGTCTCTAACACTGTCTATTCCACCAATTTTAGGACCTTGCCAATAGCAATCGTCCTATCTGAAAATACAGACAAAATATTTTTCAATCTCATACTTTAGTACCTATACTGGGGGTGAAAGAAGTATACAGATTACTATTTACTTACTCTCGTCTCTTAATGTGAATCTACCCATTTGAGGGAATTGTTTGAATGGTTCTAAACAGATAACACCTGCACATTCTATTCTCATAATAGCTACTTGGTCTTGTTTCACAAATCTCGGTCGAGTCTTAGATTTCTCTCCAGTTTTCTTATCGATTAGACAAATTAAAGCCTTGAACAAAAAAAAAACGTTGGTTAAAGAAAAGTTGCAAGAGCAAAATTGTTTTATTGCATTATTGGGCCATCGCCTGTTTTGCGACGTTTTCATTTCATAAAAATCAAATTTTTCTCGGTACCTTAACGGTGATTTCCTCTGCGGCGCAGTGAATATGCATCACCGCGCTATACCCAGCACAAATAATCGACTTGTGTTCAATGATAACGAGTTGTGCATCAAAAACTTTGCAGGTATGCACGGGGTTCAGGGCATCGCATAGCACAAAACCTGGACTAACATCTTCCTCTTCAACTCCCTTCACTTTGATTTTCACATTTTCGCCAGACACAACTCGGGACACTTCGTCATCGTCGCTCAACAGCATGTCTACAGTAACTGGGGTCTGTAACAAAATAATCACATTTTTGAGCTTCGTTGGTTGAATAGTGAAGGCTCATTAAAACTCACCCTATTAGGCATTATAACTAAACTCTGCCCCTTTCGACACTCGCCTGACTCCACTTTGCCCATTACCACCGTACCCATATCCTTATATTTGTCTACAATGGGCATCATAAACGGCCCATCTTGTTTTCTATTTAATGTTGGTAAATTGTCGATAAACGGAATGAAGGCACCGCCTTCAAACCACGAACAAATGGACTTTTCAACTGGATCTTTGAGGTTTTGGCCCAATTGTCCGGAGCAAGGCAGGAAGAACAGGTCTTTATTGAAGATGAAACCAAGCTTTTTAAGGTAGGGGAGGATTTTGTCTCTGCATTCGTTGTATCTTGAAAAAAAAAGCAGGTTCCTAATTAAACTAAAACTACGTTTTTCCTTCATTTAAATTAGGAAATATTCCGAAGTTCATTATACTCATGATATGTTTAGCGCGTTATTGCAAAACATTTATTTTATGACTCATGATATTGGCAACCAAATTTTATCGAGACAAACAATTTCGGATGTAATTTCCAAGAGAACACTTACGACCTCGTAATTATGAATAGTTACCTAGTTTCATCCCAGTTCACTGTCGGGTCATCCATTTTATTAACTAATACGACTAAATACTTTACTCCTGCTGTTTTTGCCAACATAGCATGCTCTCTGGTTTGCCCTCCTCTGTCAAAACCAGTTTCAAATTCTCCTGAAACATTTTATTTAATTTAATATATGCACGAGAGCAATGCAGTGTAATTTTAACTAAGAGGGTTTACAAATAAGAACCACACATATGTGCTTTGAAAAAAAAATAAGTTGATTATTTAAAGGCTAAAAGAAAATACTTAATCTGTATCAGATTAATTCCCATTCTCAAGCAAATAGTGTTACATAACTCCGTTCAAGGATTGTAGAGCGGCGACGAATGCTAATTTAATTATCTGGTACTAATAACGGGTTTTTACCTTTTCTAGCTGAAATCACTAATACTGCTAAGTCAGCTTGAGCAGCCCCTCCTATCATATTAGGCACAAAACTCTTGTGCCCTGGAGCATCCAGAATCGTAAAATGCTTTTTGTCAGTCTCAAAAAATGCTCTACCAACTTCCACCGTTTTGCCTTTATCTCTTTCTGAAGTTCACAAAAAACATGTAATTAGACCTGGAAAGTTTTATCGGGAACCAGATTTTTACCTTCTTGATTAGTATCTAGAGCCCAACTAAGGTACCAACTCTCCCTGCTTTTTTCACAGGCCTCCCTTTGGTACTTTTCAAGTGTTCGCTTATCAACCATTCCAGTTAGAGCCATGATTTGGCCGCCAATAGTACTCTTGCCTGCAAATCGAGTGCAAAGTTTTAATACAACGATTCATTCAGCTTAACGCGGCGAAATTCCTACCTGCATCGACATGTCCAATGAAGACAACATTAATATGCTCCTTTTTATCTTCCACCTCTACAGCCATGTCAGCTTTCTTTTTCTTGAGCTTCGGCGCTTCCTCACTAGAAGCTTCTTCGTCATCATCATCTTCTGGCGTTGAAGCTTGGGCGGCACCTTTAATGAATACAAATTATCAGATACTTTTAAAAACCGGAGACATTCAGCAGTTGAAGCTGATTCGGTAGCGTTCATACCAGAAGCTGTACTATCGTCGTCAGCGACATCTTCCCAAGTACCGCCCGCTCCTGTAGGGCTGTTATCGTCAGTGGCTGCAGGCGGAACAGGCGGAGGTTCCTCAACTTCTGGCGGTTCGGATGAAGATGACGATGGAGTACCTGCAAACAATTTCTCAATGTCGGGATCAAAGTTATTAAATATAATTAATTTAAGAAATTAATAGATAAAACGCTGCAGTCAATAGGCAGAATTTTTTAGTTTTAGATATTTGGGGTTTTAAAACCGGCTGCAGTCAGACTAGCTGCTAATCCAATCAGTAAAAAATAAAATGTTGGCTGATAACCAGCCAAGTACTAAAATTAGTATTAGCTGGAAATGTATATTGCAAAACATGAGGATATTGGCTGTAAAATCCAGTATGAACCAGCACTCCGAGCAACAGCTTTTATCTCCAATCGAATATAAAGCCGCATTTGATTCGCCCCATATCTGGGGCAAGTGGATCGAACACTTTACAATTTACGTTCAAATAAATT